AAAACTACCTCTCATGCAAGCTCCCGGAAGGAGGCTACGGGGGACTCTTTTCACTTACATTCACCTCGCCTGCTGCTTCGCATGCTTTCTTCGATAACATGCCATTCCAGAAGGGCCCGAGTCTTGGAACGAACTTTACACTCGCGTGTCCGTATACCATTCTGGCGCATTATTTTGAGCTTGGATGGGCAGCGGAGTATGGCGTAGAAGAGGGCTTGGTGAGGATTAGTATTGGGATGGAGGAAAGGGTGGGTCTTCTGGAGGGTTTCAAAGTCGCTCTTAGAGCTGCAGAAGCTGCGATGTGACGTGATGGCGTCTACTTGGAGTACTCCAACAGTACCTTGCTTCGTTCAACCGTTCAACCCGGGACTCGCAGTGTATAAAGGATCGTTCGACCTTTGGCGAGTTTACACCTCTTATGACCCGTCTATCTGGCGTCACTGTACTAAACAAACAGTTAAATGTACCGTATCTAGCACAAGAAATGGAACGATAGACACAAAATGTGGCAGTTGAAGACGACGCTATGGGACCTTTGTCCCAAGTAAACTCATTTGCACAGGAAGTAATTACGTGCAGACGGGCGGAGAGTACTAGTGGGTGGGAGTGCGATGGCGGTGATAGTAAGTTAATATTTACGAGATGAAGGCGCGGGCGCTGTTGCTGTTGACACTCAGGCTGTATAAACAAGACGCTCTAAATAGGGGACCAGGTGCAGATTAGAAATAATATCGAAAGAATGACTGTCTTCCTTTTCTTTTGGTCCGACTAGAGGGGATACTAATTAATAGCTGTGAGTTGTGGATAGAGCTATGGATTTCGAAGTATACACAGGGCAGCTGCAGTAGTACTTGAACTAAACGGGTAGTAGAACAGCACGATCTAAGATATCACGAATGGGTCCTTGTTATATAACAGTAGTTAGGGGAGTTGGTCTGCCTCAGGTGAGGCCACCAAGGCCGAGAGAGTACACATGCTTGTTGTGATCATATCAGTTACATGTAACATTATATCGATGGCTACGTATACACGGAACTCCTCGATTTATGCAACTGCGACAAGAACATCCTGAAGATGGTGTTGGAAATGTTAATGAGCTGCCAACATCACCAATAATGGAGCCTTCCTGATGTTGCATCCGCGTGCATGGTACTGGTTTGCAAATCAAAATCAACTTTGATTCGACGAACGGTGGTATATCTTACACGAGCACTATCTGTTATAACCCCCAACATCCCCCACTCGCTCAGAGTCACACCCATCCCTCGAATATGACCGCAATCTTAAATGGTCCCAGTTGGTGGCCGATAGTTAATTCGATTGTTTTTTTCAGCTATTGGATCGGTTCGTCACATCAATCGGCTAGCTGTCTCGATCTAACATTGAATGCGGTTTCGCAGTCGCCGCTGGCGTCGTAGTCGTATATGATTGGGGTAAGCAGCAGTGTTCGAAAACCGCTGATATTCTCATGATATTTCCAGTCCTAACACTCGGACAAGAGGTAGGTCGGTACCATTTTCGGAGCAACCAATTTGCTAAGAATGGTGTTGTAGATTGAACTGATCTGGGTGAGTGATAGAGCTCGAGGAGTTCCACAACAAAAGACAAACAAGAGAGTACAATGAATTTACGGCAGAGGCAACGCTGGTCTCTCATGACTGTGCTGTATTTGGTTGTTCGTACCTCATGTTATACTATAGCATGGTTGGTGAGTTGTGCTGACTCCAAGATATTCTAGATTTGCTACATTGGAATACCATATTCTATGTATGTTTTTGAGGCCAACAAATCGGTGCTATACTAATTCTATAACCCATCTCTAATTATCAGTATCAACGTTCTGCATATGTCTCATATACATCGTGTTCGATTTTTCTGACCAACGGCACACAGAAAATGTGCCATTAGTTTCGCTGACAGATGCAGTGAGTATCCGCAACCATCTCATTGATCCCATCCAATGAATATACTCATATCTAGGGGTGAGTGAAATTCTGACCGTTGAACTTGGCTCAACATGACTCGATAGGTGTGAGTCGGAACGTTTGATCCTACTACGAGAGTGATCACTAATTGGATGCTTCAGGCACTATTATTTACTACACATCAAATGTGACAAATGTAGTCGTAACTGCCATGCTGGGCGGTGAGCTGCAATACCTCACTCGACTGAAACACGATGCAAGTCATCATGATCGCTCGGTTACACGCCATGTATCAGAGATCTAAAATCATGCTTATCTTCCTTGTTATTATCTTCCTGGCTGTTAACATCGCCTGCGGAGTAATCACGGTAATAACACTTAAGCATATTGTAGTGGGTAAGCTTTACTTGTTGACTTGAAGAACACAGCTCATTGGACAAACACCAGAGGAGCTGATAATCTGGCACATATATGTGTGGTATTGAATATGAGGGGGACGTCCAGCTTCTGACTGCAATGGTTTGGATGCTCAACGCTGTTTTGGAGGTCCTTGCATTGTGTCTTTCAGTCTGGATTGCTGTGAAACACTTCCGTGACCTGCGACGACATGGCCCATCGACAAGATCGACTATCGGGGACTGTTTCAGAGTGCTGATAAAATCTCACGTGCTTTATTTTGCAAGGTGAGCTTAAAATGTGAATGCTGCTATTTTTTCTGCTCAAGTTCCACACGTGCTAGTTTTGCTGGTGTCTCTTGCCTTCGGCTTGGTTCTCTCTCTCCATTGCTTCTGGTGTGCCGACCTGTCGCCGACGTCTGCTTGCAACCACTACTCACCATTTCTGTAGAATTCATATTCTATAGGAGTCGAGATACTCTATGGTGCTCTTGAAATTCTATTGGGCGTGCAGATGTTTATACTGGGACCGCGCCTCATCCTTAGCGTTCGAGAATATCACGCTAAGCTCATGGCCAACTCCGACGCAGAAACTGGCATGAAGTCGCTTGTCTTCCAGGAGCATGTGCAAATATCAACTAGCAGTACTGTATAGGGAAATGGTTGCCGAGTGTTCTGCGGGAGAGGAATTTCGGTCGAGGAATTCGTTGTGGTATTTATTTAAGTTATGCTGTTTCAAAGTATATATATTTACAAGCAGTGACCTTCGGTCGTTGCTCTTTGTTCGTATCATGAAGATCTTTCGCTACAAAAGCGGACATTTGTTTTTGCTCTGCTTGAAATGTACCCCAATTCCTCCGCAAATATAATTCTCCGTTGTATACTTCCAAGATCTCCGTCGTTGAGTCCGTAATCTCAAAGATGAATTGCCAGAGGTCGTCGATGATTTGTAGTGTGTAGTCGTATCCACTGACATTATTTCCCACGTGTGAAGACGCGCAGATCAGTCAGCGCTGCACAGCATTGTACTCCTAATTGCTCAAGCGCTCATATCGCTCACTATCTGTGTGCGCTCCGCAGTCTCCCATTTGTGTCGTTCGTCTATCTCCGTACGTGGCTCTATTCCTTTTTTGCAATCGTGCTCCACCTTTTCTAATGTGTGTCTTCTGATTTCTAATGATATGACCTGTGCTCTGTCAATGTTTCATGTCACCAAAATCCCGGCCCTTCGTCTATACGCGATGCCCAAGGCACTGAAGACCGCGCTGTGGCTATGTATTCATAGTTCTATCTCCTATTTACATTTAAAATCAACACTGCGCCACGTCATCCAGCACCAGACATAACACCGTGAGCACAACGCAGAGCATCAGAATAAAGTACTCACAGACTGTGTCAGCGTTTCAACAGTAAAACTGCGCGTGCACATAGTATAACGCGGTGGACACAATAGCCCGTGCTGTGATTGACAAAGTGACAGATTCTTGAACCACCGGATTTCATTTTAATCCAGTGGCACTCAACGAACTGATTCGAAATTCCATGAACTAGCCGTTGACGTCGGACGCGTCTAAGTGATTCAGCGTCTCTTATATTGCCCCTGAGCGCCTTCGGCGGCCGTCAATTTCGAATGTTTCAGCTATGGGCGGTGGCGTCTACCGCCTCGCAATGGCCCTGTCCCTCTTTGATATGCTTCTAATGACCTAAGTGATTGCAGCGCACAAAGTTATATCCGGTCATTGTCATCACGCGGCTTTTATCAAGGTGCTGTAGAAGGCTTACGGAAACCCAGACTTTGGGGAGTTTCGGTTACAATTCTTTCCGACAGGGTGACGCCCTTACGAACTTATAAAGTTGATCGCAGCATGTATTTTGATTATACACCACAGGCCTCATGTGTATCAGAAAAAAACCCAGCCGACGACTATCAAAGAAGAAAGTGGTATCAACCAACACGACGCCGCAAGTTCAACCGTAGGTGTCCTTCAATCCGCGTCACTTACCTATGTGATTTTGACATGCTCCATGCGCACCAGTACCAAACCAAACAACGTCCCCAACGGCCCCATCCCAAACGGCCCGAGCCCCAACGGTCCCTACCCCTACCCCAACAATCCCTACCCCTACCCCAGTCTCTACCCCAACAACCCCAGTCCCTACGCCAGTCCCTACCCCAACAACCCCAGCCCCTACGCCAGTCCCTACCCCAATAACCCCAGCCCTTACCCCAGTCCCTACCCCAACAACCGCCCCTACCCAAACAACCCTAGCCCCCCTAGCCCCTACCTCAACGACCCCAGCCCCTACCCAAACGACCCTAGCCACCCCAGCCCCTACCTCAACGACCCCAGCCCCTACCCAAACGACCCTAGCCCCCCCAGCCCCTACCTCAACGATCCCAGCCCCTACCCCAACGACCCTAGCCCCTACCCCAACGGCTACCCCAGCCCCAACAGCCCCAGCCCCTACCTCAGCCCCAACAGTCCCATCCCCATCCCCTACCCCAGCCCCATGCCCAGCCCTAACAGCCTCAACCCCATCCTTCGAGTTGGATCAGGCATGCGCTACGATATTCGCAAACCCCCGCAGGAAGGGATCGCACCATCTACATGGCAACAAATCAGTCGCGTTCCAGCATTAGATATACCCACGTTCAAGATTCTCATCATCTCGAAGGCATTCCCTTGGTCAATCGTCATCTCTGCGCCTACTGGGTCTGTAGTCACATGCGGCATAATCTTTGAGGAATTGCATAAACAGCTACAAAGGCACGTCGAAGGCGCGGAGTGGGCAATGGTGGCTGTTGATAACACACGGAAGGAAGCAGTCGAAAAAGCTGCAAAGTCAAGGCAAGAGAAGGACAGGATCAATCGACTGAAGAGAATTGACTGGCTAGGGGATAAATCAATGTTTGAGGGGCTAGAGAGGGACAAGGAATTTGAGAAAAAGAGACATTTACCCGGAAGTGTAAGTGTCGCGGAGACATGGGTGGTGAGATTTGGGAGATGGTGATGGTGACATATGTGATAGTATATACCGGAAATTTGGAAAGGACCGTCCATCCCGTCCGCACTGTCCGCATCGTCCAAAACTGCAGTGATATTAGCACTCGAAGCGGTCAAGCAACGCATTACCGAGCTTGAAAGAACATGGTATATGAGCAGCAGATCATAGATGTCATTCCTCACTAACTAAACTCGCCATCCACAACACACTGATAAACGGATTACGGACATGAAGGAATATTTCGAGGCGAAGCTGGCTGAAACATTGCAGACAGGTAAAGCAGAAGAAGATGATGACAAGGACGAAGTAGAGCTTAAGATTGTGTTTCAGTATCGCGAACAGTTTTTCTGTAGATTATGGGAAATCTAGTAAGCCAGTGTGCTTACACGAAGACGGTCACACGAAGAGGATGATGATGGAGCACGAATGGAGGCGAGCATTGACCACAATGTTGTTCGTTCGGCACCATGCCCGTATTCAACGTTGTTGTTGTATGGAGGGTCCAGGACAGTATGATGGTGGATATACACCAGGGGACTTGACGATTTTCAGGCGCGTCAGACGCGCGCGCGTTCGAATATTAATCCTCGCATAAACCAAAATCAAGATAGCAGAAAAAATATTCAGTAATCAGCTGACTCGTTCAGGAAAATGTACCTCAGCGTCGTGAACAGGACCAGCGGCTGAGCGCTGAGCGGTTGAGGCAGTCACCTGACAAATACAACACGACTCGGTGCTCGGGGACTGGCGCGGTTGACGATTCTCTAATAGACTGACAGTCTATAACTCGTCTAATTTTTCAAGATTTAGTCTAAGTTTGCCATCAGAGGGTTTTCCCGTCAGATGTCCGACTCTGTTTGATGTCGGATAACTAATTTCTTGCACTTTCCAGAGCATGGGTCGGTTCTACGCAGGCGTCACTCATGCTGCCAGTACAAATCATTCGTGATTGCCTGATCGACAAAGGGAGTATGAAAGCTTCGAATACAACTACAAGGTGAATGGAAAAATACAACAATGAATGCATGTGAACCATAGTGCATGGAGGAACGAAATCTCTACTCTATTCAAATTTCTATAAGCCATGATGACAATGAAAGAACGTGATAATGATAACTGGAAAGGAAAGTTCATGACAGTTTTGAATCCGCGTTTACTGAGGAGACGCTGACTCGGGGGAAAAATTGACGTTGTTCCCATTCGCCTCAGCGGTATTTTTGGCCTCTTCTGCCTTCGACCCAAGGACGCTAATGATCTCGCTTATCCGCTGCGTGAGCTTTTCAAGCAACGGAGACACGCGCTCTTTGACCTCTCTGCCTACGCGATTGATCTTCTCGGGAACAGGGAGAGAAGAATTCGTGATGGTATCACGCAAGTCCACGACGGTTTTAGAGATGTCAGGATATGTAGCCTGTAGGGTCTGAGGGAGCTGAGCGATCGACTGATGTATTTTCTGCATCTCGGAGAGCAGGTTTTCAGCAACACTGTGAAAAGCAGTTTGAGCGTTATTGATCCCACTGGAGGTAAGAGCAGAGATAGAGTTAGCAGTGTCGGTCGCGCGTTGACTGAGGGACGATTGGTCAGAATATATGCATATATGCGCTAAAAAAATAGCACTCACACCATGACATGTTGCAACTGTGCTTGCTTAAGGTGCTCTGATGAATAGACGTAGAAATTATCCTTGAGGTGCTTGGAAAGGTTGATCGCGCGTTGATACTGGTATTGAGAGTCGGAAGATGGGGACGAGAGCGACGAACCACCCGATTCATTGGACATATTTCCAGCGATTCTCTCGAAGTAGTCAACGACCGGTGCAAATTTCTGAAAACTCATGTCAATCGTGTAACAGGGGTTATAGGTCACGTGGCTCCAACCTTGTCAATACCTTCTGCAACGTCAACTACAGGGGATTTGACATTCTCAAACGTCTTTCCCGCAGTTCCACGCACGTAGTTGGCCACTTCCTCGGGCTTGGCCTGGAACGGATAAGGATACCTCGACTCAACTGCATCGAGACCCTTGTTGGCGATACCGTCTGCGCGGTCAATGAGTGGGGCAAGACGAATCTGAATAGGTTGCGAGTAGTTATAAGCGGTGTTGGTGATTGCCTGAGCGGCGTGGTATGGAGAGCGGGTGAGCGTGTTTTTCTCAAGGATGGCATTTATTTGTTCAAGTGAAGACGCAATTAAAGGAATAGAAACAACACGATTTAAAACCGTGATTTTAGGGAGTTGAGGCTGGGACTGCGCGACTGATGCCATTATTGCGAAGGTAAGTGTGAGGGTAGGCGTGCAAGAAGGGAATGGAAAAGGAATGGAGGCGCAAGGCGTTCATATATACAAACACGAATTGACATGTGATTACACTCATATCGCGTCTGTCACGCTTATCATATCTGTCACACCTCTTTAAGTGCTTCCCCTGGGATTCCCCACCAATCGAGCCTTGTTATGCCATCTGTGAGAAACAGGCGGTCATGATCTGCCACTCTGATGCGTTGTCAATCCATCTATTGCATACGATGATACCTTCGATATCAGGCGAATTTTCTGATTCTTCTTTACCTCTCTAGTAACGCCTTCTTGAATGGGAGCCAGTATACGTGGACTGTTATCGCTTATGGCGGCCGGTCCCTCGTGATTGTACAAGCGAAGGGCTGGAACCTGTGGAAGCACCCCCCATAAGACCTATCGTATGATAATGACGATGACATGACAAGACGCGAAGATCACGCGGTCTTCGATTCAAACCTTCAGGCTAGACTAGCCTAGAGCCCGAGGCCTGTCTCACCCCTGTTTCACCTCGATAGCCACTCCTGCAGAAATGGAGTGGTGAACTCTGCCAAGTTTTCACCACGCAGGAAGTTGGGCCGTCTTCCGTAGTCTTGGTCAATCATTGATCGGACGGCTTGCCCAGCTCACTCGCCAAAACGGTTGAAATTAATGAACCAATAGCTATTACAGATACTTTCTAGCAACAGGAACAATCAAACCACCAACCTGCAGATGCTGCCATCTCGAAACTTTTGTGCGATGTTGAGTGTCAGTGTCGGTCACAGACCAGCAGAGACGATACAGATGATATCAATATTGACGATTACGACATTTACAATCACTACTACACTCGACGACAAGTTACAATATATACCTATAACCTTTGGGAAGGCGCAGTTCACGCTCTTCCGCTTCGGTAGCTTCATTCAATCGCTCAAGATGCCGCCTAAAGACCCAACATAGTATTATAGCTATGCTGGCCAGCGCGACGCAGATGCGGCATGAGTTGTTATATGTCGGACCCCGGCTCGATACCCAGATGTACCTGGTGTCACCGTGTTGTATGTCATCAATAGTGACATGGAGAAGATATGAGAAAGAAACTGACGGCGATAGGACGCTTCCCAACATTGCAATGGAGTTGATGGACCCGATCGCAACTGCTCGCTTGGAGCTGGAATGAGCGAATGTGTTACTGATCCACGTTAACAAGACAGCACCCGAGACCTGCGACTGAGCCATGAAAAACCTGATTGGATGATAAAAGAGGCCAGGAAGAGCGGTATACGAAATCTTACTGACAATGAGAGGTAGCGAATGGTGATATTCATCGTAGACATAGCCACAATATATCCTGTAATTAACATCAACAATGCAAAGACCATGTGCCCGAAGCGTTCACGCGTCGCATCAGAATGACTTGAAAATTGTAAGCACTTCTACTTAGGTGTGTGTCAGAATAAGGCCTACCGTGCAACAATAATTGCGGTGATTATGCTCACAAAACATGGTGGCGCACATAGCAGAAGACTGATGGTAGGCGAGTACCCCATTGTGGCCACCAATGTTGGGAAGAACTGGTTAAATGACAGTGATGCACAACAGCAAGCGCTTGCTGTGGCAATCAACCACGCGCTCCAATCTGTGATAATCGACAGGAGATCGGAAAAGCCGCCGGATGAATTAGGTTCAGCGGGACCGTAGCCTCTCAAATCCTCTTCCATCCGCTTTCGAGCAAGAGAAAGCTCCGCGGACGTGAGCCAACGTGCAGGGCTCGAAGGAAAATCAGGAAGTATGAACATCCCGCAAATGCCGACAAAAACTGTCAAATAGCCCTCTACGAAAAACAACCACCTGATAGTAGTCAAAATCCATAAAATTCATTGAAATATATCGTACCAACCTCCAGGCTGCATAGCCGAGAAACCCCTCCATGGTCGCCAGAATTCCAAAGGCAAACAGAGAACTAAAAGCATTGCTAAAACCGACTGCTACCATGAAGAACGCGGTCCTGTACCCAAGCTCTTCTCGCTTATACCTGCATCCATTTAGCAAGCCAGTTTGTTGTATAAACTCGGGGGAAGTACCATCTCGAAAGCAGATATAAAGCACCAGGATAAAATGTAGCCTCTAAAAATCCCACCAGAAAGCGTAAGGAAAGTGCTTGGTAGTAGCTGCAAAGGTGTATATCAGTGTTTCAATCGCGCACAGTTGCACAATACACCAACCTCGTGGATATTCCTTCATTATGAGTTGCCGTCCGTTTTAAATCCGCCACAGTAAACATAGTAAGATAACAAAACACACCAATGAGAGTGGTCAGGAGACCCCATAGCGACATACAGCTCGATAGATACAGCGATGGTCTTGCTATGCGAGTGAGAATCACATTCCTGCCACCACGGTTTAACTTTCAGAGGGGAGCATTGAAAACCCAAATTGCTCACGATGGTGTTTGCATGAATACATAGCCGATATATAGGCTGCTGATCAACGTATTGAACTGTGTACCTTTCATGCCGAGGTCTTCCTCGAAACCACGAAGCCTTGCGGCGCTGCGGGTAAAAACGGATATCAGCAAGAAACATAAGTACTCCTTGCAGAACGTCTTACGCAGCGTTATTTCGATCCATCTGATAGTTGTAGTAATTATTACGGAGACGGAGAACGGGCGAGACAAGTTACTGATGCCTTACGCACCTGGTTTAAGATGTAAATAAGAACAAGATACGCTGTTCTGAAATCTAGCTTTCGTAGAA